ATTTTACCTGTCTCAATATCTTTAGTCTTTTAAAACGGACTGTTCGGGTTTGAATAAGTTCATTCGTTTTATTATTATTATTATTCTTTTTTTTTCTCGAAGTAATTTTTAATTATTTAATAAATCATTGCAGTTCGTTTTAGTTTAAAAACGTTAAAAGATGGAAAAGCGGCCAGAACGCGATAAGAACTCTGTGTTTATGAACTGTTAATGCTCGGGCTGTAAACACAGGTCCGAACTGTGAACGCGCAAGCGATTGGGAACGGGAGGAAGTTAGTTGTGATCCAGCGTTACTGCCTGCCGATCCAGCGTCCTTTTGAGATTTACGCACGCCCGCTCGCACGCAAGCACGCACGCATCTTCTTGATTAACCAGGAAAGACTTTACATTTTATTTTGCCTTGCTTTATTTTAATTTTTTTTATCAGAAAGTAACTGAAAAGAGTTTTTTTTTGTTTTATTATAATTTTAACTGAGAAGTAATATTGTTTATTAATTATTTTGTATAAAATCTTTTTTTTTCTTAATACACACTTTATTTGTGAACCAACGCAAACAATTTTTTTTTTGTTTTTTTTTGTAATTCATTAACAAAGGACATTCTGAATCTACAGTTCCGGCAACCGCCGGGGAAAGGTTTACCGCCCAAATTTCTTACAAAAAATTGGAACCGGTCACCCAAACCCCAACACGGACCAAATATTGTTGTAAGATAATCAATGAAAGATGGTATAAGATATAATTAAAAATATTAAGGGCAGTCACTTTTTTTTGCCTCTCAGTGAATATGATCGTAACGGCTGAAAATAAATATGATAAATAAAAAATATAAAAAATAAATAAATATGGATACTATTGTGCTGTTGAAAACCCATATTTCATACATGATTAATTACCTTGACAGTGGACGTTATTATTCTTTTATACGTTATAGTATTCTAAAGCAATGTTTGTTCAATATAAATATTTGCCTAATCCATATATGTATTTAGTAGTCATAATTGACGGTACTAATTATGTTAATAAATTATATTATTTAATCAATCTAGTAAATACTATCGTTCGTTTTTCGTAGTTTGTTAAGATAAGATTAGTTTAAGTTAGATTAGTTAAGGTAAAAAGATTAGTAAAAGTAGATGTTAGAAACAAACATATCTACAAACATTAGAAAATTTAAAAAAAAATCCATTTTGTCTAACATCATCATTATAATAAGCATTAACTTGAATATGATTTTAACTTAACGAAAATCCCTTTTGCTAGTAATTTGGTAATACTTTTGTAATACATATAACATTTAAAAATAAGGCCCAATAAATAAATATTCTGGGCATACATATCCAATTTTGAACAATAGTTGTCTTTCTTTTAAACAGAGATTTATTTTGTCTTTGTAAAAAAGGCGAATTTGGAGAAAAACATATTAATAATTCTGCAAATAATTCAGCAAGCTGTATAAATGTTCAATTCCATTCCCCTATGCGGTTCAACACACTCCAGCTAAAAAAAAACTAGATGTTGGAAAAAACGTGTTATTAAATTTAGACAAAATTAAAATAAAATCCATTTTGCTTATCAGCATCATCAATCATTTTATCAATAATTTCACTGGAAGATTGCTATCTATAATTTTAACAAAATTAGGCTTAGTTCGGTTAATTTTTCTACTTAAGGTTCAAGTAGATAGTAACAATATATTGTTACATTTTACAAACATTATCAAAAATTCAAAACACGAAATAATCCCTAAGTTTGTCACAAATTATTATGTATTAGGAAAAAAGGTAAATATAAAAAACAATTATGGTCATTACAATTAATTAGGGTTTTTAGTTGAGATAAAAAAAGTCAATGGCACGAACGGGATTCGAACCCACGATCTTCGGCTAGATACGCCTCTGCTCTACCACCTGAGCTACCGTGACCTCGATCCACTCGGACACAACTTCCCATCTCGACCCCACCTTTTGAATTTTCCCTCCTTTTTGCCATTTTTCAATGGCAATTTTTCTTTATCTCATTTAAAAACCTTAATTAATTGTAATATATTAATTGGTCAAGCGGACCACGAAATTAGTGAATTTAATGATTGAAAATGAAGTATACTTCACTAAAGCTCTCCGTGGCCATTTCAATTGTCGTCGAGAATTCAAACCTATTACACGACATTTGAAAAATGGCAAAAAAGGAGGGAAAATTCAAAAGGTGGGGTCGAGATGGGAAGTTGGTGTCCGAGTGGATCGAGGTTATGATAGCTCAAGTGGGAGAGCAGCGGCGTATCCATCCGAAGATCGTGGGTTCGAATCCCCCTCGTGCCATTGACATTTTTATCTCAACTAAAAAACTTAATTAATTGTAATATATTAATTGGTCAAGCGGACCACGAAATTAGTGAATTGTGGTCATTATTCTTCATATAACAAACGGTGTGACGAACTAGCAAAACAAGTTTTATAACATTATTTTTAAATTTCAATTAATTATACTTTTTATTTAACGTCATGGTTGAGATGAAAAAGTTAGTGTCGTGAGAGGGATTCGAACCCACGCCCTTCGGCTCAATATGCAGCTGCTCTAACCACTTGAGATAAAAAGTATATAAGTATAAAAAGTATAAGTAAAATTGAAATAATTAAATAGGTCAAATTATGACCGTTAAACATAGTATTATTTTTAAAAATACAGCTTAGACAGAGTTATAATTGACCGCACTAATTATGCTAAAAAATTATATTACATAATCAATTTAGTAAATATTATCGTTCATTTTTCGTTTTAAAATAGATAATGCATGTATGTTAAATCATAATCTCTAGCATAACAGGTAGCCTTTATACAATTGGATAGTACAATAAATAAAATATGACATTTAACCTAGCGTAAAATTTAATGGTAAAAAAGTCCTATTATATTTTGGAGGAAAATTATAATGTTTTAGTGTGATTCAGTATAAAATATTTATTGTTTATAAAACAATATATAGGTTTAATGGGTTAAAAAGCCAAGACTTCTCCATTCAGCCAGAACGTGGCTTTTGCCATTAGAGAAATATTGATGCTAGTTTATGTCCGGCACAAGATCGCATTACACTCTGGAATAAAAAACAGCCGGCTCTCATGGTGAACCGGTCGGCTTTTTAAAAAGTGCATATACCACCGAATATCCATGGGACGTAATGTCAAGAGAAATAAAAAAAGAAGTTCTGTGTTGTCAGTGTCACTGGTTAAAATGAAAATGGCCTGACGTAAAAACGTGACAGTACGTGGGGCCCAGCGACAGTCCTTATTTGCATTGATCTTGAATAAGTAAATAAACGTTCGTATCAAACCGTTTTTAATTTATTGTATACATAACATCAAAAAACGTTTGTTTTAACATCAATCTAATGGAAAAACGAATCACAAATACAATTAATTTTGAAAACCAATTAAATTAGCTATAAAAATAATGATCCTCTAAAAGATTATAATGTCTAACGTATTATCCAGCTATTTTTAATATGTGACCAAATATCAGTAAGCAACTGACAGTTATCATATTATAAAATGATTCTTACTGTAATAGAGCTTTTGCGGGGAAGAAAAATTATATAAAAATATTAAAAAGCTGTTTTCCTATTTGTTCTCAGCCGTTTTTATTTGTATCTCATTAGTTTACAATTGCTTCCCATTTATTTGTTCTAGGCTTACCTTCGGTTTTCGGGGTCTTCTTGCCAACGGTAATTGGCATTTGATAAAAAAAAATACGCTTTACTAACAAAGAAAAAATCTCCTTATTTGCCTAGTAGATCACAAGATTTATTCAGTAATGTAGACTTTATGCAAATCAGGTTTTAGTTTTGTAGTTTCCAAAAAAATATAGTGAATTCCAAATTTTGTAGACTTTTAAGTTGTTCTTCAAATATTTTCCAGCTCAAGAGATATCAAAACTGAGCCAAGACATCCAGTACTCTTATAACTTTAACTTAACTTTTTTCTAACTCGTTATATAAATGTAAAATAAAATAAAGTACATTTTTANTCACTTATGCACGAACATATGGACTTTTCGCCATTTCAGATCAATAAACTTACGTTTATACCACTTTCTATCGAAGCCAATATCACAAGGGTAAATAGCATATGATAATTTTTATTTTTATTTATTTTTTATTTTACGAGGGTTCGCAACAGCAGAGGTCATATCAACCCTCAGGGTGCCGGTGTTTTTGAAAAAAAGCCCATTTGTAAGTTTGTCGGGTTCGATGCAGGGCCGATGGATTCGAACCCGGGACCTTTTACCTTACAGTGATGAGCGCCGTGTCAACGCCAAAACCGTTGCGGCCACCGACGCCCCCTATAATTGATGCGTGGATCGTCCAGCCTCTGAAAACTTCCAAGTTTTGTTTTCCGCTAAATCGCCAATATGCCCTTTAGGTACTTTGCGAAGCGCGTTGGAATGGGGTTTTTCCTTGCTCGTATTAGCTACCAGAGCTTTATATCTCGGAGAAAACACCCTCCCTCATCTTGATACTCTCCTGGCACGTTTAGCCCTTCGAATTGGAGGTAGTTTTTGATAGCATGTCTTTCTTCGCTAGGTTAGCTCATGTCACAAATCTAGCTTTAGGCTTTTGATTAGTCAGCAACCAATTTCGTAAAATGGCCTATTTTGTAACTGCTTATTACTATGAGTGATTTTTAACTATTAAGTTTGCTTTTATTTTAATTTCTGCTTAAACTGCACGTCCGTACTAGCTGCGGAGTGCAAATCAGCAAGAAAGGATCGTCCCCTTGTGTGTAATTTTGAGTACTCCTCAACTCAGTCCAAACGACTTTTTCGTATTAACACGCTCACTAACAAATTATATAATCCCAATTCTTAGGTTTTCTACGTATGTTCCTCATATTGTACACTTTCTTTTTATTTCTTTACCATTGTAATGATATCAACACTGATGTTTTCTTCTCCTTGAAATTACACACGTTTCTTTAGCGTGTCGTTTATTTTGGTTTTTTGCTCCAGGTGGTGGAGCCGATGATGTTCGGCAAAGTGGTGCTTTACGAAACGTGCATAGAAGACTGGCCGAACCAAGAGCTTAAAGTGCTTTATACGTTATGCGTCCTAATGATCCAGGCCGTCATCCCTGCTGGAGTCGTCGGCTGCATACACGCTAAAATCGCCTCGTACCTCCACTCCCACGCCAAGACGCAGCGGGATTCGAGGAGGGCACAGAGGGAACTCCAGCGAAACAAGAGAACTACCATGCTGCTATCAGGTAATAAATATAACGCTGAACATCTTGTAAAATATGTATCTTTTTTTTAAATTGTTTTCTTTCATTAACCCTACTTTTACCGACTTCACTCACAACTTATCTGGTTCTATAAATTTCTAATGTTGAATTTAATGGAACAGCTATGAAATATTGCTCCTCAATTAATATCCGCCGGATCCTGCGTGTAGTTCACATTCTGGTACTAACGGTGAAAGTTTCAACAAATTGCGTTCATTAATTAAGGAATTATAAAGGTCCAAGCAATTAGAAAACGCCGCTCAATGTTAGTGAAATTTTATCAGTAAGTAATGTTGAAACAATTGCGAAAAGTTTTAATGAATTATAGTGAAGTATAATGACAAACGCTACTTAGTTATGTTAAACATAAACTATTTGGATTTTTAGAAAAACCAGTTTATCGTTAAATGTCTGAAAACGTATATTGTTCATATAAATCTAAAATATATTCCTGACTTTAAGTAAAATAAAAACAAAAACAAATTCATCCGGCAATACTCCAACTACCGCCAGGAAGTTTAAAAGATTTTAAGTACATACAAAAAAACCCTATTTGACTTAAATTGATGTAACATTTTTGTACATATTTTAACGAAAATTCGCAATCTGTTTTTCTTCCTATTTTTTTTATTTTTCCTTACCATAGACAGACTATTATATTTTAGTATTAGAAATATCGACCACTTTTTCCCTCACGAATATTCTTTATCAAGGTATGGTCTTGAAGAAGAAAGCAAATTTACTTGCTACTGCCAAGCTTTCGACCATATTAATGTCATCTTCAGGGCAAAACAACCTTAAATATGCCTACATATTGGCATTGTCATTGGCAATGTTAGGACTGAATCGGTCCTGAAGGAAATTTGAGATTGTTGTGTNTTCTGTGCCCAAAACACCATGTTGTTTAATTCCCCATTAAGGTTTAAAGTAAGATATTCAATTTTTGTGTAATTTGTTGTTTTTTCATGTTTTAATTGTTTTTTTTATATGATAATAAAACAGGCCCTGAAGATGACAGTATAAAACTGTCGAAAGCTCGGCGAAAACCGAAAGGAAGTTTTCTCTGTTTTTGACCTCTTCTGTAGATCCTCCGAAAAGACTTCATGTTTCCAGCAGGTCGATAATCTAGTTCATCGTTGCATTGTTGTATATGTATTTAAGGTTGTTTTGCTCTGATGATGGCCTTAAAATAGGCCGAAAACTTGGCAGTAGCAACTAAATTTGCTTTCTTCTTCAAGACCATACCTTGATTCAAAGTGTTCGTATTATATATAAACATCTTCCCAATCACTTCAAATCCGTAAATTTTGACTTACTTTTAACAAGCTAATTAATTAACGTAAATATATTCTTGAAATTGAAAAAAAAATCCTGTAATACTATTATATTTAACCTTTTTACGTTATAATGGTCAATTGACCAAGATCTTTCAATTAATTATTCTATTTATGTAATGTTTTTAGTTGAAATGAAAAAGCTAGTGCCACGAGCGGGATTCGAACCCACGACGGTAAATACGCCGCGGTTCTACCACTTGAGCTATCGTGATTTCGATCCTCTTGGGCACGGACTATCCATCCCGCTCGTGACACACACTTTCTTATCTCAACCATATATTTAACCAACCTAACCATCGACTTAAATTTTATTTACCTAAACTTTTTTTTTACCATTTTGAATGTGATTTTTATTGCATTAATTCATTATACAGGAATGTCACTTTGGACGTCATCTCCAGCAGATCAAATTCGACACTCATTTTACCAGAAGGGGCATTTTTGTAGGCAGCGGCACCACATGGTTGACTATCTGGAACAGTTTCCTTAGCCTATTAAGACTAAATCGGAGTCTGCATAAGAAAGTGGAAAAACGTAGAGGCCGGTTAATCCGGCCGAACCAAGCTTGAAGGATATCCGAGGCTGTAACTTTGCGTAATACCGTCCCTTACCGGTCTTAACTTGTTCATATGCCTGTTGCCAACGGATTTTTTTTTAGTTTGGTTCTCGGTTAAATCAAAGTTTGTCGTGATATTTACTATCGCTCCTATACTCGGCGCTCTATTTACCAGATATCGACTTTTTTATTCAACCGATTGTCCCTACGCCCTTAACCCATGCAAAATACACATCCTGGATTTAGACGTTCACGATCTTTTTTGTACGATCGGGAGACTTCTCCGGATCGGGGGTCACCCATCTTGTTTGTTACGACGACTTTTAACCCCGAGGACGAAAACACAGAATAAATAAAAAGATTTGGCATAGGTCAGAAAACGAGAAAATTCAGGAAGAAAAATAATAAGATTCTTCGTGGCGAAGTTCACCGGAGGAAGCCTTGTTAATCCTTTGGAGTGATAAGCAAGCCTGATGAGATCGATATTTACTCTTCAATGGCGCACTGGCAACTGTAAACGATTAAAATACGACAATAGAAATGAAATAAACTCAATTTTGATTTGAAAAAAAAAATGCTTGCACCTTATCACACTGGAGTTTCCTCTGAAAAAATTATAAAACCAACTGCCAATAAAACTCTATATTGTTCATTCATATTGTGAAAAGTAAGGTGCTGACTATTTAACATGAACAACAATTATAGAAAAATATTATTAACTGTTTATTAATAATTTTGTATGTTATTTGAGATTTTTATTATATTCATTTGCCATTTGACGTTGAACATAGATTTTGCATGAGGCATATAACACTATATGGTTTATTTCAGGAATCAAAACGAAGTATGTCAGTTTACATACAAAACTGAACTTAAAAAACTATTCAACTATTTTACATATACGACAAACCGTACCGACTATGTATAGTGATTAAATCTATGTAGTTTACTATATACAGGGTGAGTCATTTTTTGACCCACCATTGGAAAATCAACGTTGGTGCGTTTAAATCTGACTCGAGGCTTATTTCCTTTGAATAATACGTTAATAAAAGAAAGTGAGTCAATTTTCGGTGCACCATAGGAAAATCAAGGTTAGTCCTTTTAATTATGACTCGGCACATTTCATTTTGTTATTCTCGTACCAAAAAAATAGGCGAGTCACTTTTCGACGCACCATTCTTTACAAATTAGTTTTAGTAGGTTGGAAGGAAAATAAACAAAACCAATATTATTAAAACATTATTCAAACACAATGTAAAAATTTAAAAAAAAAATTCTTCACAAATTAATCTGATAAAGGTTTAAGAGTATTTTTTTCGTCCGATCATCGCTTTACGATAGACTAGGCTACTGTGTTGCAGCAAATGGAGGTCTGTTCGAACAATTATTATAATGATTTAGAACATTTTTGATATGCTAACAAAGGAGATTGTTACATTTATTTAATTTTTTTTACTTTACCAGAAAAAAGGAGATTGTTATATTTATTTAATTTTTTTACTTTACCAGAAAAAATACTCTTAAACCTTAATCAAATTAATTTGTGAAGAATTTTTTTTTAATTTTTACAATATGTTTGAATAATTTTTTAATAATATTGGTTTTGTTTATTTCCCTTCCAACCAACTAAAATTAAATTGTAACGAATGGTGCGTCGAAAATTGACTCGCCTATTTTTTGGTACGAGACTAACAAAATAAAATGTGCCGAGTTGATTTTCCTATGGTGCACCGAAAATTGACTCACTTTCCTTTTTAATGTTAAAATCAAAAGAAATTGGCCTTGAGTCAGATTTAAACGCACCCACGTTGATTTTCCAATGGTGCACCGAAAATTGACTCACTTTCTTTTTTAATGTTAAAATCAAAAGAAATTGGCCTTGAGTCAGATTTAAACGCACCCACGTTGATTTTCCAATGATGCACCGAAAATTAACTCACTTCCTTTTTTTAATGTTAAAATTTAAAAAAATTGGGCTCGAGTCAGATTTAAACCCACCCGCGTTGATTTTCCAATGGTGCGTCAAAAAATGACTCACCCCTGTACGTGTGGTGATTAGTGACCGTTAGTCGGTAATTATTCAGAAATCGTGAGATGCGGTCTGGTGTGACGTGGGATTCAGAAAAACATTTTCTTTATCGTGCCAACGTTTCGATCTTTATTGAGATCATCTTCAGAGCCTGGGATTTACAAACATAGTTTACATTTAACAAATACATGTAGGATGTGGAAAAAATTGAATTTATACAATGCAAAAAAATATATTTTTTATATTCAATCAAAGTAGTTCTACTCACTCAAAGTGTTTGTTTTCTGCGTAACACGACACGCAAGAATGGCACACTTACGCAAAAAACACTTTGAGTGAGTAGAAATACTTGGATTAAATATAAAAAATATATTTTTTGAATTCTATAAATTCCTTTTTTTCACATCCTACATGTATTTGTTAAATCTAAACAATGTTTGTAAATCCCAGGCCCTGAAGATGATCTCAATAAAGATCGAAACGTTGGCACGACAAAGAAAATATTTTTCTAACACCTACTTCACACCAGACCGCATCCATCTCACGATTTCTGAATAATTAGTTTACCATATACTTGTGGCTGGTGTAATTATTCTATCGTCCGTCGTTTTATAAAAACAATAAATTAACTAGGAAGCAGACGTCTTCAATTGATATCTAAATGCTTTTGGACTACTTATTTGAATGTTATTATTTGTGATACCTTCATAATATCACGTTTTAAAATTGGAGCTTTGTAATATTATTATAGTATTTACAAGACGGCGTTGAAACTATAACTTTATAAAAGTCTTGTAAAATAATTTTGAGCAAACGCTACGACACGATGAGGTTTGTTCAGAAGAAATTCCTTCATAAGCTGCGATATGATGTTCATTACTTCCGGATGATCTTCGAGGTACAACCTGTCTTTATAAGACCATCTATCGACTTCGTCCATGTAAAATGAGTTTACCTAAAAGAAATAGAAAAATTGTAGTGGCTATCTATCCGAAGTATTCAGGAAGCTTACTTGGGGATCGTCTTCGTATCGGCAGCGAAGAGGAACAATCCTTTCCGGTGATACTATGGCGTCGGCGTCGAGGGACGCAAACGGATCGATCTGTATACGGTACCTCTCGTTTTTGTACACCTGGGCGATGTACTGGCCGGCCGTTGTGAAAAATGTGTTAGTGACTTCTTCCTTGCCGTTCGGGCAGAGTACCTTTCTGCGGATGCGGACCACGTACAAGGCGACATTGTTCAGTACCATCCGCTTCGACGGAAAACAGCGGATGTTCGTGGGACAGATGTCGCCTGTAGTAAAGATGCACTTCATTTTAAGAGTTCCGACGTAGTAAGAGTAGACCATTTTTCTCATGAGTATGAATATGCCCGCCTCCGAAAGCACGCGCTTTAAGGACTTCATTTTTGCGAAGTAGGACTCGTTTATTTCATCCCCGTTACTTCCTCGTTTTGCGCTAACATTAAGTCCAGCGTCCCCCAGCCTCATTATGTGTAAAGACCTGAAAATAAATTAAAATAAACAGTATTGATAAAACTCCAATCAAGTATCCATGTGGACTAGATCATCTAGGACACAAATCTCACAGTTTTGTGTGATTGAGGCTCACCTGTCGAAGGTCCGTTCAATAATTTTAAGCGAATATTATATACTTATATGATTAATTTTCAACGTAAAACGCAAAATGCAGTGTATAAGTTAAATAATTATTTTATTTTATTTACATTAAAATTTAAATCATTTTTTTGTGTGGTGATTAGTGACCGTTAGTCGATGATTATTCAGAAATCGTGAGTTGCGGTCTAGTGTGATGTAGGTTTCAGAAAAACATTTTCTTTACCGTCCAACTTTCGAACTTTGTGCGGTGATTAGTGACCGTTAGTCGATGATTATTCAGAAATCGTGAGATGCGATCTGGTGTGATGTAGGTTTCAGAAAAACATTTTCTTTATCGTGCCAACGTTTCGATCTTTATTGAGATCATCACACCAGACCGCATCTCACGATTTCTGACTAATCATCGACTAACGGTCACTAATCACCACACAAAGCTCGAAAGTAGGCACGATAAAGATAATATTTTTCTGAAACCTACATCACACCAGACCGCAGCTCACGACTTCTGAATAATCATTTAAATTATTAGAGTATTGAGGGAAGTAAGAATAAAATTTCTTAAATAGTAATATCTATCAAGGAAACATTTTATTATGGGCCATAGATTTCATTTTTTTCTACTTTTTGTTTGAAAATTGTGTATAAATTCCACGTGGGTTCAGTGTGATTCCCAATTGTATAAGCCTTTTTACTATGTTGCTCTATTTTCATGGAGTTTAAAAAAAAATTGTATAAGATATTCATTTTCAACCAGTTCACCTCCATGTCGGTTGTATCCTTTCTCAAATAAATACACTAATATTAAGGCTGGGTGAAGCAGGGTACCTCGATACAACCATAGCTATACATAAAATTAGGTATATGCCTTTTCTTTCTGAAACGGCTGACGGCTCTTACCACATTTTTTACATACACATACTCATTGCGACACCTACGCAGACGATACCCCAATTTTGTCCTCTAACTCGAAACCTGTCCAAGAACTCCTTGAGCTTCTCGAATACTGATCCAAAAAAATGGATGTGAAGAAGGAATGAAAAAGGTGCATTTAGTGTTCTCATTGGTAAAACACAGTCTTGTCCTCCTCTGTTCATCAACAGCAAAGAGATACCGACTCCTATTTAAGTCAAATACTTAGGACTACCCTAAGTTAACATTGAAGAAACTGCCTCCAGCTGATTCTGCATTAGCACGTGGTTTTCGTGTCCACCACTCCTCTCTGCTCTCTTCGATCTCCTGCCTCTGACGTTCGTCATTCTTCCAGCAAATCTCACCTTCACGCTTTGCAATCTCATCTTGTACATTTAAAAGTCAATATTTTTTTAAAGGTCTTTGTGTTCTGAACTTATAACTCAAGACAGCCGACTGAGAATCCTCTCCCCAAAAGACTTAAGAGATAACAACTTAACAGAGGACTGGACAACTATGAAGCTTTCCAGGAACAAAATTAGGCTTGACCGTCAATACTAAACTCACCTTATAGTTTGCAATATATAGTTTATATATTTTGACCTAACCTAATATAGTTTACAACCACGATATGGAATGAACGAGGCCGTCCCTGCCTGAATTCGTAAATTTGCTATGTAAGTAGTTCATAATTGTAAACCTTATTTATTGCAATTATAGTTTCATAGGCCTCAGAAGATTGACGAAGGAAGAAGGACGAAGGAGTGTGTTTCTTTTTCTTTTAATTGATCTTATTCCTGATTTTTTAATACAAAATTATATAATTGAAGCATAATTTATTAAAAGATTAAACTTTTTAATTTTTTTTCTTTAAAAAAACCTGTCATATTCATTCTACATGAGTAATACATAATTTTTGTATAACTGTGTTGCATATTTGGTAAGACTGGCTGCCTCACTGATAAGATAGTTATGCATCTGTTATTAAAGTATACAACCAACAAAAACTATTTAGTTTTGATTTATCTTATGATTCTTCCTTCTTGAAGGTGGGATATTAGGCGATCTCAATTTTTTTTTACCAGAAATTTGGACAACTTGTAGGTGGGAGAGCCTATACAGCTAACAATGGGCCTAAGTGGGTTGTTTTGTTTATGAATTTTCGGCAAACCGTATGCTCTTGGCGCAACCCCGTTGTGGCATTTTAAGTGATATCCCTGTTGAGGGAAACAAGCCCGTCCTTTAATAAATTAGCAATTAGTATATTGTTTTTGAATAATAGGCGTGATATATTTTCTAGACAAAATGTAAGTATTTGTATCACCTAATAGTATTTCCATTTTGTCTTTATACCCTTTATTCTCTATTAGGACCGTCTTATTTCCTTTGTCCGATCTAGTGATTAACACATCTTCATTATTTTTTCTAAACTCATTCAATATTTTTACATTTTTCTTAATTTTAAATTCGTGTCTGTCCAATGAGGTAATGTTTTTATTTTTATTTTTATTATGAAAGTTTGTCATTATATTGGTTATTGCCGCCCTAACTTCCCCTTTAAGGTTTTCATCTTGTTCCTTACTTAGGAAAACTTCCAGTTTGCCGATTGTGTCCAGGACTGTCTTGCTTGTTAATTTAATTAAATTTTGGTCCAACTGACAACATTTCAACTACTTCGTCCGATATAGGCTTCTCTGTCAGGTTTACGACCCAGTCCTGTTGGACTTCATTGGGCTCCCTAGAAATTCTTCCGTTTCTTTCATTTAATAGGTTATCTGGTTTTTTATTCAGTTTTAATTATCGTTTCTTCTTTTCCCTATCAATGAATTCCCTCTGTTTTCTCCTAAATTCTATAATGATATTGGGGGGAGGGGGGAATCTTTCCATTTAATTCATTTTGTTTGGTTTAAGATTTTCATTTCTGAGTTATAAAATATGGAATCTAGTTTTTTGATGTAAATAGTTGTGCTCACCGGTAAAATATGTTTATCCACTTTTAACACGTTATTAAGATAATTAGGAAAAATATTGTTTCTTCTACATTTTATCAAGAATTCTTTCTTGAGTTGAGCATTTAATAACTTATTATTTAGTGAAGACCATTTCTTAAGACTTAACATTATTTGTGTTCCGTGTTCTTCAGCGATCTGTCTGTAGAACATACTACCTCCCCGATGGGCAGTACTGGCATGTCCGTTGATATCTCCCATGATTAGAGTAACGATGTTTTCTTATATTTCGACCTCAACAGTTAGTCTTATGATTCTTCCGTCTTGAAGGTGGGATAATAGCTCAACTCAACGAGAATCATAAGATTAACTGTTTAGGTCGAAATATAAGTTTTGATTTATGAAAATCAGCCGGGAAGAAAAGAAGAGGTGAGAAAATTCCAGGGGCTACGATAGGAATCGAACCAACGACACATAAGCACATTATTTTTTTCTATGTCATGCACACAAACGTGTTTTAAAAATTAGGATGACAAAGTCGATAAAAATAAATTAAAAACATTTAGATGTCATCGATATTCATAAAAGTTATCGAGTTCCGTAAAAGTTAACCTTTATGTAGTAAAGAGCTTTATAAAAATCTACAAGATTTTAAAACAACCGAACGTCTTTTTGGCATAGCTGTAAAATTTATATGACTAATCACATATGGTCATGTATGTTTAAAACTATTTTGCGGCCAAATTTCTTAAATATTTCGATTAAAAGATGGTAGTAATTGATAACAACATTGACCTGAAGTATTCTTCTCCCGGAGCCCAAGCCTGTTCGGTCCTGAATTCTTTCAACGGGACGAAATCGTTTGTGAGCCAGGCAAAATGAAAGTAGACGTCTCTCAGTTCGTTGGCCTCGTCAGTTTTGATGCCCTCAACCGAGAGAAACACCTTGTCCTCGGAAAACTCCGTTGATATCGTCATCTTCCCGACCATCTTCTTTTCGACAGGGTCGAACACGAACATCTTCTCCCTTCGCGGCATTCTATCCAGATCTGCTTGGTTGAGGTAAAACGCCCGGAGGTTGAAAAGGATCTCCGCTTCTTCCGTTTCCGGTTGGGGTTCGACTTCGTCGGGAGCGAGACTCTGGGGAGGAGCCGGTGGACAGATTGGTGCTGGAGGTTTCTTCTTGCGCTTGCTCTTCTTCCTTATGTTCGCCACAATGTCTTCAATGCGATTGTCTATGTCGACCGTTTCGGGTTCTTCAACAATACTTGTCGAGCTGACGGGAGATTCTTCTTCCTTGGCAAACAACTCCTTCAGGAATAATGGGTTTTTTATGGACTTTTTCGCCGATCGTTTGTGTTTGAAGATCTGCTCCCATTGGCTGTCTTCCTTCGATAAGAGACTGTTCGAAGCATCGTTCGGCCACGATTGTTTAATATTACTCAATGAACTATCCTCGTTTATCTTTTCCATTATGCGCCTACGAGTTTTTAATCGAGAGGGAAAATAATACTGCACCTCATGTCGGAGAAAAAAAATACTATTAAAAATTAGACTTATGTATCATATGTAAAGTAAAATTAAACTATTGTAAATCACGTGTGTTTCTGTAAAATACAGTAAAAACCAATATTTAAATATTATTGGGATTTTAAAATCCATCCACCTAACCACAAAAAAATGCCTCGTCCAGTTTACTTGGATAACTTCTTCCCAACTGGTTAAACTGAACATCGATAAATGTCTGTCACAGAATCCCCACACTAACGACTAAAACGCTAAGAAGTTATGATACGATACAGAGCCCTTTCATGACTTCTTGACCAACGGCTTATCATAGAAAAAATAAACAAAAAGACTGCTTTATAATGCTCTTACCAACTGGAAAATGTTTCAGCCAAATATTCTCATATCGGCCGCCATCCACAATCCTCAGAAAAATCTTTGATTTTTCATTCTTTGTGTCCAACAAATCTACCCAAAATAAACTAAAAATCCCTTTGGTCCGCTCCCGCTACTACAAATTTTATAAAACCCTCTCATAAAACTCTTATAATCCTCAAATCTAAAAACACGAGTTATCTCTCAAAATTAAAGTCCATGTGAAATTAGTCTCTTTTGATGTAAAATCACCATTTACTTCCGTTTAATGTGAACATTTATATAATCTACATGCGTTTCGAGGTTTCCTCATCCGTAAATGTTCCACTGGAGGTAATTTAGGAAACGTATATTTTAACAGGAAAGATTTACTGGTTACTTCAAATATGACAACGTCTAATACAAATAGAAAGTGTAGCGATGAATGAATTGCTGTCCATCATTATAGCTAGCCTGATAGCGTGTGATTTATTAGCTTGGGTTGTAAAAAAGTTACCGTTTTGGATAAAATTGGGGCGATAAAAAAAAATAATCCAGGCCTTTAGATTTCAAAACAGTTTTTTATAACTACTTAAAATCCACAAAGGATGTATGCCCGAACACTACCTCCAAATTATTCAGAAATCGTGAGATGCGGTCTGGTGTGATGTAGGTTTCAGAAAAACTTGTTCTTTATCGTGCCAACGTTTCAATCTTTATTGAGATCATCTTCAGGGCTCAAAGTGTTTGTCTTCTGTGTTATTGTGCCATTCTTGCGTGTCGTGTTGAGAGTGTGAAACGTTGGCACGATAAAGAAAATGTTTTTCTGAAATCTACATCACACCAGACCGCATCTCACGATTTCCGAATAATTATCGATTAACGGTCGCTAATCACCACACATTACTACCTCCAAAGCTCACTCACTCTACAAAAATCCAACAAAGGTCTATGTCATTGTCTTCATTTTTGTATCTAATGACTGTCGCATTAAAAATCGAACTTTAACTCATCCGTGGGCAGTGACTAATGACTAACACTACACTGTAACTGACTCATGACCAACTTACCAGTGTCACTAAACTATACTCAACTGACTGATTACGCCTTACTCGTGCCAACCATTGACTACCTATTCTTGTAGCACTAACTATTTGCGAAACTCCCCAAAGGGCTTTATGTGGTGCTTTCCTAGGCAGTTAGCACCCTATGGCTTCAGCATTTAGCATTTGTTGAGTTTTTTTTTTAAGGAAGATTCTCGAGCGTCCAAAGAAAACACGAAATGTGTTGCTGGAACTGTTACATGTCATTTTAATTGTTCAATACAGTAAAATACAGCAATAATCTTTACAAAAATTAAATATTAATGAGTTACACAAATAATTAACTATGTAAAAAATGGTCTTCTCACGACGTCTTTAAATAACCAAATAATTGTTGAATTCTGTTGGGTTTATCAAAAATTCTCAATACATAACAAAGATATGAATACAAAAAGTAAGTACTATTACGATTATAAAAATTAATACAAGTAAATCTCAATTTTCTGATTCACAAATCTTTCAAAACAGGGTATTCTGTCTGAAACGTTTTTCTTGTTAAAAAATAGTCCTCAAGTATAAACATTTGGTGTACATACATATAAATGCATAGAAATTAAAAGAAAAGGACGCAAGAAGTGGTAAAAGGAAAACGAAATACCATACAGAAGCAGATAAAAAGGCAGAACTCGGGATTGAGTAAAAAAAGAAAGAGAAACAGTAATCAAAAATATGAATACGTGAAAAAACATACAAACTTAGTGAGGAAGAGAGAGGGGGAAAACGTAAAAAGAGAGGGACGAAGAAAAATAAGTTATATGAAACAATTTGAAATGTACAATAGTTTTTATGTAAAAACAGTTGTAATGTCGATGCATATAACGTAGGAACGAACACAATGCACTTCATTGTAACAATCCTTTCTACCTCTTTCTCAATCTCTCTCTCTCTCTTTCTCTCTCTCTCTCTCTCTCTCTCTCTTTCATTCTCTCTCTCTCTTTCTCTCTCTCTCTATCTATCTATCTATCTATCTATCTATCTCTTTCAATCTCTCTCTCTCTCTCTCTCTTTCTCTTTCTCTTTCTCTCCCTTTCTCTTTCATTGTCTCTATTTGCCTGTGTCTGCCTACCTGTAAAATAGTGCTTTAGTGAGTTTTTTCTGTTGTCATTGTTCTCATCAATTCTTTTTCATATGATTTTATCTTAACATGTCTTATTATGTGGTAATTCTTACTGAATAAATTGTCATTTTATCTAGGATGATTTATCCTCTACATATGAAAAAAATCATACTGCACATTCTTAAATATTTACAATTTTGTCGTTTGCTATGTACACAGCAATTTTATGTAATTTTGTAATTGTAATTATAAATAATTTAATTAATGTTTCTCTCTCTCTCCCTCTTTCTCTCTCTCTTTCTCTCTCTCTCTCTCTCTCTCTCTCTCTCTCTCTCTCTCCCTCTCTCTCTCTCTCTTTCTCCCTCGCTGTAGGTGTGTGTTGAAAAATTATTATATTTTGTTTCTCTAAAAAAAGTAACAATATTGACAACTGAAATATAGATTGTGATTGTGCGAAAAAACAAGACTCAAGTCTACTCATCCAGAAAGGGATAAAAATAAGAAATATTGTAAGAGTGAGGATGGGGTGAAATTGCTTCTTCCCTGCATCCGATCCAAATAGTGCAGATCTTTTTCATGTAAGAAAGTGTTTTCCTTCAACTGCCCACATTATCAATGTTTTCCATATCCTTTCTCTAACGTGGCCGAATATTAAAATATTCGTGATTGAAAACAAAGCCTCACTGACAGTACTTTATGCCAAGAACTTGTATATATTTGCAAACTGCGTACTGAAAACATTTTCTAGTTATGCTTTACAGACTTTTTTTATTATACGGTAATACACGATAGTTTGATGAATAGAAATTAAATTATTTCTTTAATTAGACAAATTTCCCACTCGTCAAGTCAAAGAACGATGGCTTCCAATAATGACAACGTTGGGAAACTTCTTCATAATATTCTCAACTCTGGAGAAAGACAATGTCAAGTTGTGTGTGCCGTAAGTGAGAACTTAGTCGCGGATTAATCCCCGATTTAATCTCCGGCCAAGTTAAATCGATTTTCCTTCCCTTGGATGAGCGTTTCACTCCGTTTAAGGACAATCGCTTGTTGTTAATGTGATGACTTTTTTTTCATTAACACTTCCTGTAAGGACGGATTTGAGGCCAGTACACGAATATTAACAAGGAACAATGGAATATAAATATCTAACTGTAGCACCTACTTTTAACTCTATTATCCTTGGTCCATATCGCTATAAAACGTCCGAAGTAAATCAGCATTTTCAATTATACATAAATTCATCTTCTATATTTGCAAAACAGAGATAAAATCTCAATTATAACCGTTTTCAAAAGTTAAAATATAGAACCAAACTAGAACTCGTTTAATTTACAATTTAACANTTCAATGTTATAAGTATCGACCACTTTTTCACTTACGAACACTCTGGATCAAGGTGTGGACTTGAATAAAAAAGCAAATTCACTTGTTACTAGCAAGCTTTCGACCTGTTTAAAAGTCATCATCAGAGCCTACATCAATTTCACATTATGGAAAAGCATTGTTAGATAAATTTAGAAATATATTTTCCGTAATGTGAAATTAATATAGGCCCTGATGATGACCTTAAAATAGGTCGAAACCTTGGTAGCAATAAGAAATGAATTTTTTTTTCAATACCGTACCTTGATCCAGAGTCTTCGTGAATTATTTTAGATTTCATTTCTTTTATTTTAATAACATTCTTAATTATTAAATTAACTAGTTTTCGTGGTCCTCTTGACCAATTAATATCTTTCAATTAATTAAGGTTTTTAGTTGAGATAAAAAAAGTCAATGGCACGAGCGGGATTCGAACCCAGGATCTTCGGCTTGATACGCCGCTGCTCTAATACTTGAGCTATCGTGACTTCGATCCACTAGGACACTAACTTCCCATCTCAACCACATCTTTTGAATTTTCCCTCCTTTTTGCCATTTTTCAAATATCTTGTAATCTATTTGATTTGAAAAATGGCAAAAAGGAGGGAAAATTCAAAAGGTCTTTTTTATATTTTCTTTTCACTGGGCAGCCAACTTCCCATCTCAACCCCACGTTTTAAATTTTCCTTCTTTTTTGCCATTTTTCAAATGTCGTGTAATCTATTTGATTCTCGGCGACAAATGAATTTTTTATCTCAGTTAAAAACCTTAATTAATATTCTTAATTGTAATATGGTTTTTTATATTTTTCAATAATGTTTCAACAATTTTTTAATTACACTATGTTCAATAGTCAATAAAGGCTTTATTTCAATAATTAATTTTGTATTTTCATAAACTAGTTAGCCCTGACTCCACAAGGAAAGCACATTTAAGACAAAAATAATCTTAGTATAATTTACTACACGGATATTTATGCACGTTTGTAAGATTTGTATGTTGTCTGTTACTATCATAAAAAAATTAACACCCTTACGGTCATTCATTGTCGTTAGAGCAAACAAATTAACTTAAATTACTGGAAGCGAATATATGCAAGAATAGTGTCACAACTCAAAAAGCGGGGCAGTAGTTTTTAGGGGTAGTACAACAAGATTTTTAAAGTTTTGTGTTTTCGCTTAGGTCTTGAAA